TTTTCGGAAACCCCTTTTATAAAAAAAGGGGGCCCCCCCTGGCCCGTTTTTTTTGGCCAAAGGGGTTGGGTAACCCCCCCCCCCCCCCCCCCCCCCCTCTTTTTACAGTACCCCCCCCGTCTTCCACCGTCTCTCTCCGTCACTCACACGCTCACTTCCTGTCTTTGTCTGTCTCTGTCCCCCCCCCCCCCCCTTTTCTCTCTCTCCATGCCTTGCCTGCACGCGCAGGCCCTAGCTCGCGCGGCCTCCGCCATGGCCTACCTCCGGCGGCACCCCGAGTTCATCGAGGGCCCGCAGTACGTCGACAAGTACGTCCAGCTCCTGTCGCGAGCTCTCGCGCTCGTCAAGAATCAGGTGTGTAGATGTGAACCTCTCTCGCCTCCACGTCTGTTGCTAGCACATGCACCACCGTTTGTACGGGTGTTGAAAGTACGACGCTCTATTTCTCCTGCTGCTGCTGCTGCTGCTAGTGCTCTTGCTGTCATCGGCGTGCATTATTTGAGGCGTGTGTTCGTCCGTTCACAATGTTTCTGTGTGTTTGTGTGTCTCTCTCTGTTGTTGTTGTCGTCATTATCGTCGCCTTCCTCGTGGCCAAAGGTGATGGAGTACCTGGAACAAGCGGCGAGGCTGTCGGGAGAGAAACCGGTCGTGGAAGGCCGCTTGGAGACCTCGGAGATCTACTCGCGCTTCAGGAGCGTCTCTCACCGGGTGAGCGATTTGAAAAATGCTAGTGCCGTGTCCGTGAGAACGCCGGCGGTACACTACGTATACTTTTGCGTGTCGTAGCAGGTGTTTTGTGTTAAAGCAATCATGCTCGGGGACAGTGTAAAGAAGGGCCTAAAAGTTGCTCCGTTGCAAGCTCCAAAAAGCGTGGACTTGATGTTACTTTTCTCAGAAAGCCAGCAACGGCTGCGGGCATCGCGAGATTGGAAAGGGTTGCAGCGTAGTGAGTTATCACTCAATTGGTACAGCTGCCGTATAGCCCGAAGCGCGACACGGGTCGGCGCAGCTTGCCGGCATTGGTTTTTCAGACCAAGAAGGGGCATGTACCGACCGCCATGGTTTTTCAGTATGTAGTAATCTCCTGCTTGTGTGCCGTCAACGTCAATCGAAACAAACAAACAACACACAATAACCAAAACCCAGGTTAACGCGGGGGTGGCCCTGATGCGCAAGTACGTCTCCGCGGCACCCCTCGTCAAGACGCTGCTGTCCGACTTCAGGCAACTCTACTTCGAAAAGGTGGGCATACGGCGTGGGTACACGGGTGACCAACCTGTGCCGCCAAGTCTTCGTACTCGATTGGGTTATTTTTTCCAAGGAGTGTGCATCTGCTCCCTCCCTGCCTGCCTGGGGTTCGCGGTGATTGATTCCCTGCCCTTGCGCTTTTTTTTGCCCCTCTAGACTTGTCCGAGGGTGGGTTTCGCCAGTTGGCGAGAGTTTTTTTTGGGGGGGGAACGAGTCGCCTCTTGCAGTCTGTAGTAAGTTTTTGCTGTTTCGTCCCTGGCAGGCAAGGAAACAAGACAGGCGATGACGACAACAGGTTTTTGGTTTTGCCTAGATGTATACGTGTTCGGCGTCTGAAAGCAACGCGCTTGGGTGGCAAGGCTTGCTAAGCTGTTCTCTCGGGTGTTGTGGCGTTGTCGGAAAACGTTCGTGTAGATATTTGATTCGGCAAGAGGTTTGTTTTCTGACCGTACGTACGTGTAGTCGACAGAGAGTGGAGATCCGCTGGCGTGTGCCCGGCTTCTTAGACCCCTTTGGCTAATTTACCGCTACATGCATGCGTACAAGCGTGTGCTGCCACCGCGCGACAGCGATGCATTCGTACTTGTGAGGGTACAGGTTCCAGTATCTCCCGCTAGACTGCTGTATCTGGGGGCTTTTTTCAGAGTTAGCTGTCCTTCGCCCATCACTCCGACATGAATCGGTCAATCACGCCCGTTCGTGAACGTGTCTGAGGGGTAGCTGCACTCGGTATATATGACGTGCCCGCTACAGAGCCCGGTGTCCCAACAATGACTAGGATTGTCCCGCCTCAGTGAACGTGCGAGGTTCAGGATGTAATGTGTTTGTGCATGTCTTTGGTGTGTGCTTGTTTTCCGACGTTCCCCGTTGTGTGTGTGTGCCTGTGCTTGTGTACGTGCTATTATTGATCAGAGACTGGCCCTTCTTCGGCCCGCAGTCCGCTCTCACCTGGAGGCGATGTCGAAGCAGAGGGGGATCACGGCGATGATAAGGTGTGTACGTCCTGCCTTGTTGTTGTTGTTGCTGGTGGTATTGTATTTTGCTGTACCAGTATATATGAGTGCGGCATTTTGAGTGCGGCTTCGCCGTTCTGTCTCTCTGCCTCTCTCTCTCTCTCTCTCTCTCTATTTCTCTCTATTTCTCTCTTTTTTTTTTTCTCTCTCTCCTCTCTCTCTCTTCCTTCTTCATGTTGTGGCGGCGAGAAAATGTGTCGCCTTTTACATACACCTGGCGTTCTCAAATGTCCCACACGCAAGAATGACGGGTCGATTTTGTTTGTCGTGGGACGGAATGGAAAACGATCGGAGTTCAGACCAGACAGCAGTACTGCGATGGCTATATGAAGTCCGTTCCAAAGTCTTGTGTTGTCTTGGTCTACGGGTGTCGTTGTTCTCGGCACCGTCGGCGACATGAACGTCCAAGTCTTTACAGTTGAAAATGCCAAGAAATTACATCCATGTCTTGGGGACGAGCCGGAGTGTGATCTGACTTATTGTTGGAGACTTTATGCTGCCAGGGTTCTCTCTTATTTTGTGTTCTTGTTGTTTTGCTCCCAGATGAAACTATTTTTTATATAGCATATGAAACGTTTGGTGGCGTGCGTGCGTGTGTCTGTGCTTCGGCGGATCAATAATAATGATGATGACGACAACGACGACGACGACGGTTTTGCAAAGGTTCGGGGCGGCGTTCCTGGTGCGGGTCGGGCAGCTGGAGACACAGCTCTACGACGCCTGCCTGGGCCCCGAGGAGGAACAAGAACAGGCTCAGAACCAACAACAACGAGAAACCGCCGCCGCCAGCAGCAGCAGCAACGGCACCGACGAGACCAAGGGGAGTTCATCCCCACGAGGGGAAGAAGGCAAGGGGGGACGGGGGAACCAGCAGGAGGAGGAGGGGGGGGGGGAGGAGGAGGGCCAAGGAGAGGAGGAAGAAGCGAAGAGGGAGCTGGACCTCCAGAGGGAGGAGGAGGCCGCCGAGGTGGAGGAGGGTCGGGCGGGGCTCTACGGGATGCTGCTGCAGCTGTGCTCCGAGCTGCACAAGCACCTCCGGCCGAGGGTGTACCACGGCACGGACATGGACACCCTCTGCGAGGTGTGTACCCGGGGGGGGGGGGGGGGGGGGGGGGTTTTAGAATTCTTACGAATAAAAA